CCTCAAATCTTGACTGCATGGGTGGTTTGTGTACCACACCAGTGCCTAAGGAAAGGACTAGAGATCCATACCGAGGACTTCCTGCTAGCCATAAGCACAGTTGAGTCACTTTTGCTGAACTTAATCTTTTTTTCTCCTTTCTAGCCATTTCTCCACTTCCTTTCTTGTTTACACAGTCTGTATTTTTGTGGTTTTAATTCTGAATAACGTTGAATAAAGATGCTTGTTTCTTTATGGGGGAAAAAATAGTCTTATTGGAACATTCTGTGTCCCTTCTCCATCCCTGTTGTGCTTTCTCTCTGCTTCTCTTTGTATGTGGTCCAAACCTGAGGGCCTCAGCCCCCTACTTCTTCTCTTCCTCAAACAGCCCTAACCCACGGTGTCTCAATTCCTGACTCCAAGGACAGACATTCTAACTAGTTAGTCAGCCAGTGGGTTGGGTTCCTCCTGGGCCTGAGAGGCAGGATTCCAAAAAGAGAAATGTAGGCTAGGTAGCTCACAGCCAAGGTTCTCTACCGCAAACTCAGGACACGTAAAAGCAATGTTAACATTATGATTGGAGTCCAAAGTTAGTTTACAGTGCCTGTTAGATCCATAGTTTTGCAAAATACTTATTTGCAGTGAGAAAAAGAAAAAAATATGAAATTTAAAATTAAAGATTAAATTACACAATGGAATTCTTACCACCCCCTCAGCACCCCCGCCAAGATTTTTAAATGGTTGGTAGTATTCTGAGTAAAAGTGTTTTATTTATCTTAAATAATGGTTTTGCTATAAGGTACAGATTTTAGCACAATATCTGGAAGGACCATCAACAATAATAATAATAACTAGAGCTTATTCAGTGATTACTATTGCCAGGCTCTGTTTTATATATACTGTATCATTCACACCTCGCTGTAGTCCTTTGAGAACACCTACTAGTACTTTCCCTGTTTTAAAGATAAGGTGACTGAGGCACAGAGAGATTGTCATTAACAAAAGTTATATGGCTTGATTAAAATCAGAGCCAGGATTGGAATTCAGGAAATCTGTCTCCAGAGTCTGTACTTTGAACTTCTCTGCTACCCTGCCTTTATCAGAGGCCTGCAATTATGATGTTCCAGGGTAATCTTAATCCAAATGGAATTTGGAAGTGTTCAGTCTGGAGTACCATTAGACAAGGCTGTTGTAGAGGAAATAAGTATATTAGTGGTCTCTGGATGCCAGCCCATGGACCCTCTGCCTCCGAATCACTCAGGGAGCTCATTATAAACCATAAGTTCCAAGCTTTGACCCCAGGGGTTCTTATCCAGTAGGTCTGGGATGGGACCCAGTAATCTATATTTTTAGCAAGTTCTCTAGATAATTGTGATACTCAAACTGGTTTGGAAAATCTGGACTTGATAATCTTTTTTTTTTAGAGAGGGAGATGAAAGGAGAGAGAGATAGAAACATCAATGAGAAAGAAACAATGATTGGCTGCCTCCTGCATGCCCCCTACTAGGGATTGAGCCTGAATCCTGGGCATGTGCCCTGACTGGGAACCGACAGGACCTCTCAGCCCATGGCAGGACGCTCAATCTACTGAGCCACACCGACCAGGCATGGACTTGATAATCTTTTATCCCACCATCATCTTCTAGAACAAGATAGTAAATGAAGACTTGGGGGATTGGTTCAAGGAATTCCTTTAGGCATTATGCCTTTAAGTTCTCTCAAGATTGTTAACATTGTTTCTTTTTGTGTCAGAGACTATAGTAAGTGCTAGTAAGTGCATGTAGGTTTGAATAATAATGATCCCTGCTGCATAACATTCTTCATTAAATATTTATTGAGCATGTGCTAGTTATGAAGTACAGCATTAAAAAAAATAAGAGTCCTGTGTTTACAGGGCTCGTAGGTGAGATGGGGTAGACTCCCTAGCAGCATATTTGAGCCAGGTGAGTAGTGTATTGGTGAGGGCTTCAGGGGTCCAGGAAGAGCCATCCTGTGCCCAGGTTTACGCTCGATCCATGTGGGAGGAAGAGCCAGGCCTTGAAAGGGGGCTCAGGTGGCTGCATGAAGAAGGGATTCCACACAGCAGTAACACTGCCAGGGTACCACTTGTCCCACAGCGTCTCGTGGGGAGACGGTTCGTTCCCCGGAAGCTCCTGCATCTCAGAGCAGGGAGAGTCCATTTCTTCTGTTTCCAGTGTCTTCTACCTTAGCTGCCTTGATTTGGGGGAGGGGCATCACCATCCCACAGATGATCTGTGCCACTCTTAAGCCTCTCAGTTCTGTGGCCTCTTCATCTTGAACAAGTTACCTTTTTTACCCACTTAAATCTCCCTCTCCAATTCCCAGAGTCCACCTCCAATTTTACTGTTAGCCCAGACTGTTTGTTCCCCTCCAGAATCAGGAATCCAACCCGACACTGGCCACCACCTCTCCTTAACACAACTTGTAGCTCTTATTCCTGAGCACCTCCTAACCAGTGATTCGTCTGCTTTTTTCCCTGTCTCCTGTCCCTTTGCCTAAAACATTTATCTTCCATTCTCAGATTCTGTTTATCCCTCAGGTCCTGTTGCACATCTTACTTTCTCAGGGAGGCTTTCTGCAATGAGGTTACTTTGCCATGAGGAATGCTCCAGTAGCACCCTATACTTTTGCTTGGGTAGCATTTAGTACATTTTGTATGTATTTAATTAGTGTCTATGTCCTCTAGCAGACCGAGTTCCATAAAGGCAGAGACAGTGTCTATAGTACAAAAGGTTGTACATAGTAGGTGCTCAATAGATGCTAGTGAATACATGAAAAATGTGTGCCTCTAGTCTAAAATAGTGGTTCTAAACTCAGTGGTGGGCAAGGGTGGGGAGGAAGGAAATGGCAGGATAAGAAATGCAGTGGTATTAGAATAAAGTGGAGTTATGGGGGAGGGTATTCGTTTTGTTTGTTTTGTTTGTTTTTGTGTTTGTTTTCCCTACAAAGAGAGCCTAGCTCAGAGCCTTCAGCATATGGTAGTGTCTCTGAAAGTTAATAACATTGCTTTATTTTTATTGTGTTTATGGGTGCAGTTACTTTTATTCACAGATGTGATACAGACTTTCCTTCTAAAATAAATGTATAAAAGTAGAATAATGAGTTGATTTAAAGAAAAAGCATTAATAATAATAACTTGGTACACGGATATAGAAAAAAAGTTATGGCAGTAGAAGACATGCATAAAATTTGGAAAATGCTAACTTGGATGAAGCCCCAGGAACTCCTCATCAAAGTCCTGGGGAACGCCCGGGCTCAAGTGCTTTGTTTCCTTTACTGTCCTTTTAGTGGGGTTTGGGGAGGAAATGAAAGTAAGCACATGTGTTCAATCTATTACGTATAACAAAGTCTGAAGTTTTTTGTTTTCCTCTAAATAGTCTGTCCTTAAATTTGAAATATATAGAAAAGCACAGAAAAGTATTTTCATCATTCAACCATCCTTTCAAGGGCTAATGAAAATTAAATGACATTTACAGTGTATTGTAATTCAGACTTTGAGGAGTTTAATGGCAAAATACAATGATCCATTGCTTTTTATGCTATATGATCAAGAAGCCTTCATGAAAATATAAAAGGAAGTACATGTCATTTCCAAAACTAATTATTTTGGGACTTTATAAGAAATAAAGCTAGGTGTTTCATCCCATATTTTACAGACATAAGAGATGACATTTTTCTTTGAGAGTCAGTGATTTAAAAGAGGAATCACATTATCAGGACAATGGTATACTCACATAAACTCTTAGATTGGGATACTATTTTACTTTTTATTCATGATATTTTACTCTTCTTTTAAATTTGTTTGGTAATCTATCCCTATAGCTTATATTTGCATTGCTACCAATTAGTCGTTTAAGATGTCAATTTCTCTCTTAGCTAATTTTATAGACTTTGAGCTAGAAATCTGGTATTCTTACAAACTGTTAAATGTACTGTATTTTGTCTCTTGATATTGAAAAAACTATTAAAGGAAAATTATTTATGTTGTCTAACATTCTTGCCCAAGAGTGTTGCAGCCTCCAAAGTCAATATATGTATATTTATGTATATAAAGTAGTATAATTTTCTTTCTAATATTAAAACAGAAAAACTACCTCAACTGTCTGAGTTGAGTTCAAGTACTACTCAGATATTGAACTCCATGGTTATAATTATGATATACTAGTTGACTTACATTATTGATATAACAACAGATGGTAACGGTGCAGGTTGAAATAAAAGATCATTAAGCTAAGTATTTTAGCCTTCACTGGCTCCCTGTTGCATAGAATTTGTCAGAGTGAAATAGAATCATGGCATTTCAGAAGTAGATTATTTATTTTTTCTTTATTGATTTTAGACAGAGAGGAAGAGAGAGAGAGAGAAAGAGAGAACATCGATTGGCCACCTCCTGCATTTGGCCCACAACCTGGGCATGTGCCCGGACCAGGATTGAATCAGCGACCTCTTGGTGCATGTGTCGATGCTCAGCCACTGAGCCATACCGGCCGGGCACTAGAAGAGTCCTTTAAAAATGTCTTATTTAACCTGGCCAGTGTGGCTCAGTAGATTGAGCGTGGTCCCATGGACTGAGGGGTCCTGGTTCGACTCCTGGTCAGGGCACATGCCTGGGTTGCAGGCTCCATCCCCAGTGGGGGGTGTGCAGGAGGCAGCCGATCAATGTTTCTATCTCTCTTCCTCTGTCTCTAAAAAATCAATAAAAACATATTTTAAAAAATAAATAAAATAAAGATGTCTTATTTAGTTCCTTATTTGACAGATAAGAAAATAAGCTTAACTACTTGCCATGGTTGTGCAACCAAGCTTGTAGCAAAGCTAGGACCAGACTCTAGGTCTGCCTTTTCCCAATTCAGTGCTCTTTCTACCATCTCTGTGTGAGATTTTAGGTGGTGGTCTCTCTGTTGTATTCCCTGATGCACCAGTTATTTCATTTCTAGAACATAGAGTTTCACCCCATTATGAGTCTTTGTTGGTTAAACTTTATATCTGGCTTTCTTTAGGTTGGTCTTCGCTCACGTTTTAATACTGAAGACTTCAAATTACATTTTGGATCTACCACTTTTTTGGAAAACTTCAGTACCAAGCAATAAATCACCCACTGTACTCTTGTTATAGCATAGAACCTTTTGAGCTCTACAAATCTAAGCAAGATTAGCTCTCATTTTCCCATGAAGCCACATTGTTACTTATTCACTTTAGTGTTGAGTATTACTATGCCGGCTGCGTTTGTTTTGGAAGATGTAAGCTTCAATCAAATGGACCCACTGGAAGCAAATCATAGTTCTTTCAATGAATCATTTCCACCAAGCTTTGAACTCTCAGCAGGCTCCCCCCACTCAGGTGATGAAATCATCATAGCCAAAGAGGGAGCTAGTGTTTCCATCGAGTGTCTTCTCACAGTCGACCACTATCAAGATGTCCATTGGTACAACTCAAAAGGACAGCAGCTGGATGACAGAGGCAGAGGTAACTATGCCAGGGCATAATTAAATAGGGTTACTCATTTCCTTGGTTTTATAGCATTTTCAACAAGAAATCTCAAAGGTGAGGTACCAGGGTGAATAGTTAAGACCTTTGAAAGACTTGGAGTATTAAACCTATCAAAAAAAGCAAATTACTTATAATTACGTAACCAGAAGAAAGAAAAAATAAGGAGTAGTTGTACATTTTAAAATTTTCCTATGATGACAGTGAGCTATTTTCTCTCCTCTTGGTGGGTTGGTTCCCTTTTTCATTGAAGATGGACTTCATCAGGGCTGTGCCCTGCTCGGCTCCAGGGGACCATGCACCCAGACCATAGTGTGAATAGTATAGTATGGTGGCCTTGTGTGCATACAGTAAGAAGGATTTGGGCTAGACTTAAGTGAATTTGTCATAAAAAAAAAAAAAAAATTGTTCAGAAATGAGTTACTAAAAATGTTAGAGGAAATCCAGTGTGGTGGTGGTTTTTTTTAATGATTATAGATCTGTGCATAAAACTTTAAGTCCTTCTGAGAATTAGAAGGGAATTGAGGAGGAGCTAAAAGTCCTTCTAGCTCCCTTTTTTTTTTCTATTTTATACACTTAATTTGCTTGAAAACAGGAGGGTTGTTTCTCTTACAAATTTTGTATCTTCGTCTTAAAAATCACACAAACATAATAATGTGACCAAGACCTACCTTTTGACAGGTTTTTTATTTGATTTTGCTGTCTGTGGGCCTGTGGACACATCTTAGTCAGAATACTGTTTCCTGAGCTAGTGTTCTATTAGAAAGATTTTTTTGAAGACTACTTGGGTTAAAGCACCTCAAAAAGAAATCACCATGAAAAATCACTGGGACAAAGGTTAAATCTGGGATCCTCACAAGGTACACTTTCAGAAAAGGCCTTATCTTTCTTGCTAGAAAGATAATCTGATCTCTTGGACTATAAAGATACTCGGTTATTCACATTAGAGTGGAACAGAAAAGGAAGCAGGCGCGTTTCCTTCTAAAGTGTGTGCTAAACTTTTACCATCTATAGACTGAGTAACTGGCCACCAAGGGATTGAAGTGTTTGAGTTGTTAGAAAAAACTGTGTGTTTTTAACTAGCTTCTTAAGAATATAGACCTGTTAGATCAGAATCTCTAGAGTGGTACCCAGAATGTGTATTTTGAACATGATTAGGGTTCCACATTTGGACTCACTGATCTAGATTCTTACTTCCTTTGGGCTGTAGGATCCTGACCAAATGCATTTGAGATTTGAATTATTCAGTTAAAGTGATTATTACAGACTGACTGCATAATCAAAGTTTAGGTTAAGTTGATACTAGCCATTTGGAATGCAGTTTTATTTTCCTATTTTGCCTTTACTTTGAAAACCTTTAAACTGACATCTATCACTGATGCTTTCAACAACAACTCTAGAAAACTGTATTAAATTTTATGACTCTTAAGAGAGAGGAGTTTAAAGAGCATGCCAGTCTAGTATAAGGTTCATAAATCTTGAGCTATTATCAGCAAGCAAGCTAGAGAGTTTAGATTGTGGTCGTAGCACAGTGGTTGATGAATGGAGTCTATGTAGGTCATCATACCTTGGATTCATGGGATATCCTTTTCATAGCTCCAAGTTCATAGGACAGAAGCTTGAGGAATAATGGCTATGTTTATAGCTATATATTTTTCTCCTTTTTTTACATTGGTGAATTCATAGCTCTTAAATATAGCTGTAGAATTTTGATGAAAAACATGGGCACAATTCAAAGTGCTTACTAATTTATGTGCTACTATAATAATCCAGAACTATAGAATCCTGGGGATTAAAGAGATCTTGAAGATTAGGATTCAGGTGGTGCTTAAACAGGGACCCAGCCTTCTCTGGGACACCATTTATAGTCATTGGACTCACACCTACAGTCCATTGATCCCACTTTCAAATGACCATCACAGTTAAAGCATAGAGTATGCTGAGAATTTACTGCAAACGTGAGAATTATGCAGGCAGATCCAAGTTATTGAAGGATACTGAATCAAGGTGGGCAGTCAGTATATTTTGCTTTTCATACTCATTTATATTTCTCTATGTGTGTTTCCTGAGTGAAGATACCTTCATATATCGAAGAAAAGTGGGATGTTTTAGGTGAAAAACAGAAGCCCAGGTATCTTAAGGACAACTTTATTCTGTCTTGCCAAACTGCTCATGTACCCTGACTTGTGAGACATATCTTTTGGCTTGTGCTTTAGTTACTCTTGCCAGAAAATCAAGATAATCATCATCTACAAACCTTTTCTAACAAAATTCACATGTGCAAGGCATGCCACGTTAACCTGTTAGTAATTGAACACATTCACATTCATTAAATTGGTAGGGTTTTTTAAAAAATAATTTTATCTATTGTTATGTAAGTTCATTATCAAAAATAAGCAGTTAAGTAAGAAGAAAATAAAAAGTACTCATAACCCATCACCCAGAAATGACCACTGTTTTATATTTCTGAGGCATGTTCTTCTGGTTTATGCAAATGTATAGGTAGAAATTGTGATGTAGACACACATACAGGCACACCTCATTTTATTGCACTTTGCTTTATTGTGTTTCACATACATTGCTTTTTTTTTTTTTTTTTTTTTTTTTTTTTTTTTTTTTTTACAAAGTAAAGGCAAGACCTCTACCAGCAAAATGATTAGGACTTGCTTTATTCCAAGATTCGCTTTATTGAGGTGGTCTGGAACTGAACCCGCAATATCTCTGAGGTATGCCTGTATACACATAAACATTTTTTTAGAGATTAGTTATTTAGCATTATATAGACATACCTGTCTCCCAGAAAGGCTTGTTATGTCTAGCTGTGAAAAGGTAGCTATGATAATCATTACGTCTGGAAGGAAGATCTTGATTCCCTTTAAGTTCCAGGCTATTTAAATTCTGACCCTGGATGTAACAGTCTACCCTTTCTTACATGATTTGAACACATAGCAAAACCTAATAGATGAGTTAAAATACACTCATGAAGAAAAGGAATATTGATAAGCCAGTTAGTGTATTTAGTGGTAATATTCTTTATGCTGTAATTATTTTTTATTTTTGTTGGGTTATCAGGTGGAAAATGGTTGGTTTCTGATAACTTCCTGAATATCACCAACGTAGCCTTTGATGACCGTGGGCTCTATACATGTTTCGTCACCTCTCCAGTCCGTGCCTCCTATTCTGTCACCCTGCGTGTCATCTTCACCTCGGGAGACATGAGTGTCTACTACATGATCGTCTGCCTGATTGCCTTTGCAATCACTCTCATCTTGAATGTCACACGGCTCTGCATGATGAGCAGCCATCTCCGTAAGACCGAAAAGGCCATCAACGAATTCTTCAGAACCGAAGGGGCGGAGAAACTTCAGAAGGCCTTTGAGATTGCCAAACGCATCCCCATCATCACCTCGGCCAAGACTCTGGAGCTCGCCAAGGTCACACAATTTAAGACCATGGAGTTTGCTCGTTACATAGAAGAACTGGCACGAAGCGTCCCTCTCCCACCCCTTATTCTAAACTGCAGGGCCTTTGTTGAGGAGATGTTTGAGGCTGTGCGAATGGATGACCCTGATGACATGGGAGAAAGAATTAAAGAGAGACCTGCCTTGAACGATCAAGGTGCCATCTACATCATTAACCCCGAGATGGGGCGGAGTAATTCACCAGGAGGAGATTCGGATGATGGTTCTCTGAGTGAACAAGGCCAGGAGATAGCAGTTCAGGTTTCTGTTCACCTTCAGTCAGAGACCAAAAGTATTGGAACAGATTCTCAAGACAGCAGTCATTTCAGCCCGCCTGATGATATGGGATCAGCTGACTCGAACTCTAACTGCAGAGATGCGGCATATGAATACTGCCAGCTCTGAGCTCCCCAGCACCCATAAAAACGCTCTCAGAATAGGAACCTGTTTCACACAGGAAATAACATTTTTACCAAAAGATGACGGGTTTCCCCCTTGTTCTAATTAAGCACATCAGAACGTGCATTATTGTGAAAATCTTTGTAAAAATGCAGCATTTTTCCTATCTGATGTTTCTCAGTAAGTTTTCCTCAAGCTCGAGTAGATGATACACATTACGATTGAAAGGAGGCTGAGAGGTGAACATAATGAGGAAAGGACTGCGCTAAGAGTTCCACAGCCCTGGTCGGTTTGGCTCAGCGGTTAGCATGTCAGCCTGCGGTCCAGAGAGGCCCGGGTTCGGTTCCCGCTAAGGGCGTGTATCTCGGTTGCAGTTTGTCTCTGGCCCTGGTTGGGTCTTGCAGGTGGCCCACTCGATGTGTCCCTTTCACGTCGATGTTTCTCTCTCTCCTTCCCTCCCACTCTATCTGAACAAAATATGGAAAAATGTCCTCAGGTGAGGATTAAAAAAAAAGAGTTCCACGGCTTCTCTTCTGGTCAAGTTCTTCCATTGGTTAGGGCCGAAGCGTATCTTGAAGCCTCATTTTCCCACCAGTAACGTAAGGGATTTGCATTAAATAATGTCTAAAGGTGTTTCTAGCTTTATAACTTCTTACCTGTCACCTTTAATCCACTGAACTCTTCACATCTCTAAATAAGCCCGTCTCTGCACTTTTAGCCCCTTATGGAAAGGACCAAGTTGAGACTTGACTCTGTGGTTTAGATTTCTACACCAGTGCCATAGTGCGTAAAGGTGTGGGTGTTTTTCAGATATTTGCCTTGTGGAGTGTGCAATTTCATGTGCTAGGTGGAATCTTTTCAGTGTAGCCCATGTCTGTATTATACAGATATCAGGGAGCTAACTGCTCGTTAATGAACTACTTTCTATGAGTAAATTGGCCCTTTGGGGGGATATATTATGTCTTTTTAACTTACCGAGTGTCATTGAGCTGGCACTGATTTCTCAACTGATCTCCAGAAGTGAGCAGTTTGTTTCTAAGGAATAGCTTCTTCAATGCTTTTAGAACAAGAAACAATGTCAAATCATCTGTCTCTGGTAAATCATGGATTTCGACATTTATGTTAAGAGAATTTCTCAGGCTTTCCCTTTTTAAAGATACTGGACTGGACAAGAGCTACGTTTGGGATCCCATTCCTGGGGGAAACCCAGAGCTGGATTCCTTTTCAGACCTCTGTCAACCTTCTTGCCCTCTGGTCTTAAATATGGTGCTAACAGTTACATGCATGCCTCCTTATCTTGTTTGCATTGTTTATATTTTATTGTTGTTGGGGTTTTTACTTTTGTATACTTATGATAAAGAATTGAGCTAGGGCTGGTTTTGTGATCTTTCTGGGATGTACTAACCTGAAAAAAGATAGATTATGGTGTGTGGTGTATGTTACTATATTAAATATATTAAATAGATAGGCATAGATAGATAGATGATAGATAGATAGATAGATAGATAGATAGATAGATAGATAGATAGGCAGACACGTACATACAAGTGACCAAGACATAAAGAGAAAGAAAAATTATGGATGATGCCATCTGATTTAACTGTATGTAATAAACACCTAAGGCACTATTTCTTGTCTGGCTGAGATCTGATGTAATGGATTGTAAATACTCCTCAGAATAATTTCTTTAGCTGTAGAAAGCTTGGAGTCATATCATTTTAAGAACTTGGCAGTGGAGCTCCTTTTGGTTCTTCGCATTTCTTCATTTGGCTTCTGATTATGGAAGCATTACTTGAACAAGCAGGTCCTGAGGGAAATGTTCAGAGGAGGTTTTATCAGGATTTTAATTTAAGGTTTCAAATGGAGGAAGGTAGGAAATTCAAAGTGTGACCAGATAGAACTCATGCCTCCCTTTGTCCGGGTTTATCAGAAATAATACATCTGCTCTGGAGAGCATGAATGAATCAATGTGTGGTTTTATCAGATGGCATTATGGATAAATATGATAATGCTGCCTTTTCTGTCTCTCAGGCCGTTTCCATGGGAACCTTCAGACCCAAACAAAAGCTACCAGTCATTTAGCCAAAGCTTGCCTGGGCTCATAGACCTGTATTTCTTTAAGGAAAACTGCTTTAATACATTTGACTATGAGAGCAAAGGCTATTGATTATAGAACACTTTTCCCTTCCCAGAATGTTTCTCTTGAAAAATTAAAACTTTTTAAAATCCCTTGTTTGAGATCTGTCTCCTAAATATTCCTCAGCTCTTCAGACAGTACCCTTAGTCCTATCCAATATAGCAGCTCTGGGGTCGTTTCTTATATAACGTGGCTTGTCACATGAAAGAGAATGAATCTACCCCACATGTTCTCATAATGAACATGAGTATTTGGAACCCTAAGGGAGACATATTTAATGATCAAAGTCATGAGAGACAGGGCTTCATAGAAATACAGGAAATACTGGAAAAAGTATAAGTTTAGATAATACTGTATAATAATGAAGTACAGACTACTCCAGTGTATCCTGGATAAATTACTTTAGAAACATAATGGTGACTTAATATGATGGCCAAAGTAACTGGTTTACTTTGAATATTCCAGGTGTACTTGACAAGGAATTAAAGCAGGTCAAAATGTAATCAGAGTTGGTATTTCTAAAGCTAGTTTTCAAGAGAAAGGAAATCGCACTTATTAGTATTTTCTATATCTACTCAAATGCTCTAACTAATAGTGTCATGTTATCTTTTTGTAAAATCTTTAACCATTTGAACTTAAACCATAGCCTAAACGTCTTTTGATAATAACTCTGGTGTAATTATCCTTTTATCTCACCAAATTTTACAGTTAGTGAAAATGCCTTTCCTCAATAAGATGTATTTGAAATATTTATCTCATTTATAAATTGTGTCTTATAGTTGGTGAACGTTGTTGTCTTTATGAAATAATGGCTTTGTGAAATAAATTTACCAAAAATGGACATCTGAGCATTTTTTATTTATTTATTTTTTATACCAGATGAAACCAGATAAGCTGCATCTGCTCTGATGAGGTTAATTCTTAAGTCAGGCCCAGTGAACATGTGTATTTCCTACCAACTACCTTGATATGAAATAAACATCTTGGGAGTTGCTGACCTGGAGTGGTTGGGAGAGAGCCCTGGCTCCTTAGCTTCCCTTAACATGTATTCTAAGGTCAAAGCACACTGCTTTCCCTCCGTCCCCCAGCCTCCGTGAAACCCTTGGCGAGTCCCTCCACGCCCTGCTCATAGTCTCGCCCTAGGTCAGACTTTGTCTCCTGTGTCCTAGAGTGGCATGGGAGCACGGCATGCTTGTGTTCCGGAGTCCAGCCAGTCAGGTGCTAGCTTTGTCTCCACACACCATCAGTGACAGCACAAGTGTGTCATTTCCCGAGTCACCAGTAAGGGAACACAGTCTTGTCTTTTCCTGCGTAGGCCAGGAAGGTTAAAAATGCCCAGCCTTACACATAAACTCGTAGGTTCTCAACACATTTCAGAAAAGTAAATGAGTATCATTTGGTGTGGTTCAGATGATGTTTAAATAGTCACCATTTTAATGAATACTTACATGGTAATTTTGTCCTTTAACAAAATAGCTATCCTTGAATGTAAAATATTAAATGTTTAATGAATTATATTTCATTTGTCTGAAATATGTAGAGTATTCATTTTTATGTGTAATGGAATTTGATGTTAATGATTTTCCTTTAAACAGGAGTAAATTTGGATTCAAGTTGGATGCCACCATGACTACCCATTTTAATTGTACAAATATTTACTAAGCATTTATGTTTTCGGCACTATGAGTCACACTTCCATGGGTGCCCTGCCCACAGGGACCATGAGGACACAGTTACCAGGCCATCCTCGCATGCCTGGCAAAGGCAAGAGCTTGAGCAAAGGCCTACAGATATGAGGATTTAGCACATGTTTTGGAAAACATGTGACTAGTATGTAAAGTGTGCGATGAGACTTGGCATTGGGGAAGGGTAGCTCTGTTAGCAGCGAACAGCTGCAGTCCGATGGGAGTGCAGGGTGACAGTAGAAAAGCACAGGATCTCAGAAGATAAGCAGAGGGAACAGATAAAGGTTTGACTCATAACTTAAATGCCACAGACTCAGAATGAATTCCTAACCCCTACCTCCCTATAGCCAAAGATCACCGGCCTTGGAGTTCCAATTTCTAGCCATGGAACTACGGGACTTGGCCTCTCTGGACTTCGGTAGAGTTGATAATACCTACCTCACACTCATAAAATTAATATGAGGGCTAAATATAACAACAAAACATGGTGCTAGCTTTAACATGCCACGTGGTGCAGGACTAGGAATCTGTCAGCTTTTAGCAGCCATGTCCAGCTGATGACTGGTTGCATTTGTACTCAACCAAAAAGTCCCGCAGATCTCTTTCAGTCACACGAGCATTTGACTGCATGCTGTAGAAACCCAACTGTGATGACTTACCCAAAGGAGAGGTTTATTTTTCTCAAATAGGGAGTCCAGAGGAAAGCAACAAGGCCGGTGCAGGGGCTCAAGGACTCAGGCTCCTTCTAGGTTCCTCTCCACCCTTAGTATGTGGCTTTCGTCTGCATGGTCACAGATGTCTTAGATTGGGTTCTTCCAGGAGTCCCTAAGAGAAGGAGTCGTGTGCAGAGAGTTTATCTGGAAAGTCATCCCAGGCAGGCAGGGGAGTGGGGAAGTGAGGCAGAAAAGAAGAAAGCCAATACAGGGTGCGTTAACGAGTGGGTTACTGTTGTGGGCAACTGATGTTCATTCCTACCGAGAATCTCAGGGAGGTCTGTCTGCCCCCAGTATATGTAGCTCATGCCTCAAAATTGTCCCACCTGGAGGCCAAGAAGTTGGGATATTTGTGTACCAATTCCCATTTGTCATTGAGGGCTGCTTCCAGGGTCGCTAACTGGTTCTTCCAACCTGCCACACACAGGCTAAGTGTGATCCTGTAGCCCACAAAACCCCTCAGGTACACAGTCAGAGGAGCTTTGGGTAGGGAGCCTGTGGAGAATATAGGAATGGGGAGTGTCCACAGGTTATGGGCAGAGTGCCAACAACACCTGCTCTACAGGATAATGTCCCTTCCAGCATCATGTCTGTATTCCAGGCAGGGAGAAGGGCAGAAGGTCAAAGTACAAAAGACACATAGCAGCTAAGTCTGGACCTTTTTATTATGAAGGCAATAGCTTTCCTGAAGCCTCACCCAACAACTGCTCCTCAGCTGCCGAAACTGGGTTACAGAGCTACCTGCTGTAGCTATAAGAAAGCCTGGGCAGATGAGTGTGTGTGTGTGTGTGTGTGTTTTTAACTGGGCACATCGTCCCAAAGGCTTCTATAGT